TGTAACCTAAATATTGATACTATAATAATAAAAGTTTTAAATTATTAGTTTATAGGGCTTTTATAGTTAGAATATATTAGTAGTCATAAATGTATAATGTAATGTATGTTAAATTTTTATAATTTTGATTTGAATGTAATGTATGTATAATACAGCGGGTCGATTTGTATGGGTCAAAAACTGTACCTCTAAAATGAATTCTTATGTCCTGTGCATTGACCCATAGATAAGGGTTGAAATTTGAAAAATTCCATTTTGACCCATTTAGAGAGTGCTTCAATTGCGTTAACCCTTATTTTTGGGTCAATGCACGGGACATCAAAATTCATTTTAAAGGTATAGTTTCTTCAGCAAAGTATCATATTTTGGTCCCTAGAATCCGAAAATCATATGTGCCTAAGTGATCTTTAAATCGACCCGCCCTAAATTTATCAAAAATATGTTTATATACATATTTAAACGATATATGAAATATAAGGCTGAACTGTGAAGCTCATTGTACGGTTATATCTTTTTGAAATATCTTACATTATAAAATTATATAAAACGTTTTTTGGATTTAATTATATTACATTTTGATACTGTAATATTAACTGATACACATGCTACAAGAAAAGTGCTAAACCGAGAATAACTCTATAATGTATTTGTAAATATTAGCTAAACAACTAAATCTTGTTTTCAAGTCAATAAAGTCAAACTGCTACAAAACTAATTTGCATCTTCAAACCGTTCCCACTAAATAATCCTAGTATGACGTATTACTTTTGCCAGTGCAGACAGACATTGGAGCATATGAAACTTGCTCCAATATCCGAATACAGAATACATATATGCATACGTGGCCCAGTTGGTAGCCGATAGCAATTTCATCAATGCCAGATTTCCCAATATTGGATTCGACTTCAAAAGCACACACAGATAGCGCCGAGAATATTACGTATACCGTCGACTTGTGAAATGCGTGCGATATGGAGCGCATTACATGCATTATTAGGCGATCACGGCATATTTGCCATGATAACAGTACGAGAGTATACCTGCTATACATATCACAGTTGCGAAATTACGAATTCCACATCAAAGTTAATAATATGACAATTAATTGATAATTTAATGAATTATTGCATCGTTTGTGAAATACCTTTCTCTTTGCGATAAAAATTATGGTTAGGTGAGTATAAACCTATTGACCTATTAACACTTTGGGGACGGCTGTCCACCTCAGTGGATAAACATACTCTGTGAGGCACAGGCTATTTTATAAACAATGACTCAGTTTGCATCGAAAAGTTGAATAAATTACATATAGCAAAAACAATATTGTATTTTGAAAATAATTTTAAGTTATTTTAGTAGTATTTTTAGCCTTTTTCTTTGCTATATGGTCTTTTTTTAGTATTTAAAACGACCGAGCGCTTTCAAATATGGCAAAACTGGTAAATTTTGTGAATTAAGCAGTAGTGAAGATGAGTTTCAAATAGGCATTCATACAGACAAATTTTACGAAATTACTATTCGCACCGATGATAGTGATGAATGTGTAATGATATTATCCAACCAACAAAAAGAAGAAGAAGTTCGATAAAATAAATGAAGAGCAGGAAGACATTAGCGAATGTGCCGATTCTCCTTCAATAACCGAATTGGACATACATCAACAAACACCCCGACTACAAATACCAAGCAATATAAGACATTCAATAGATTATTTTACTTTATATTTTACAAATGAATTATTAGACAATATAATAGAAAAAATTAACCATTATGGTAGCAAAAAAAAAAAGACCAAATATACTAACTAATCAGTGGCATATTCTAAATGAGAGTGAAAGAAAAAGGGATTGTATTGTCTGTTCTGACAGAAAAGCACCAGGAGGTAGGCGGCGAACAACATTTTATTGTAAAACATGTCAAAATCAACCAGCTATGCATTTTGGAAATTGTTTTGAACGCCACCATTCTTTATAATATGATTAAAAATAAATTAATATTATAAATGTATGTCCTTCAATGACCACAAATTTTTATCAAACAAATTGCGTAACATACACAACGAAATCAAGTTTAAGGCCGTTGAAGTAGATTGTTTTGAAATCGGTGCCGTCCCGAAAGTGTTAATATTGACTGGGAGATGTGTTGATTAGTTTTTGGCAAGATAAGTCCAGCAGTTTGGAAGTTACGGTGCAAAAATGGCAATTCAGATTTTGAGAGAACGGAGCTTTCGATTCCAATTATTTAATAAATATTACACTGGTATTAATAGAATGAATAACTTGTTAAATTGCTGTGAAGGCGGGCCCAGCGGTTTTGGAGATCCAATAAAAATATGCAAATTGGCGGATCATTATGCATATGCACATCAAATAATTACATATTTAATAAACTTAATAATGAGTTCAAATGTTCTTCATTATATTTCTACAGAAATTAACAAGTTTCTTATTTATATAGGTCTTTCAAAAAAAATCTTTAAATTCCTTTCAAGAAAATGTTCCTTCCAAGAAGACTTTTTTCCAGAAAAACCTAGCTGTTATAAGTTAGCAAAAAGTTTCGTTAAAATTTGTTCTATACAATGCTAGTTGGTATTGGTATTTTGCCTTGAGGCAAGTTACATGAACTACCCGATGTAAATAATCGACTTAATCAATAAAAAATAAAATAATTTATTTGTGATTAGAAGTATTCCGAATAGATATATTACACATATTTGAAAATGAGCAAACTTGTTTAACTCGGAGTATTTTCTAAAAGCAAATTTTCACAAATCAATGATTAAATTGAACCAGTTTCCGTAGGACTTCAATAGTATGTTCATGAAGACCAAGTCGACTAATCGACAAAATCGACTAATTTGAATTCAAACAAATGTCAAAAAAAACTACTCATTTTCTCAAGCTTCGATGAATTTTTAAAATGAAACTACTTGTCGTAAGGCCGTAATATCTCAGTGAGCTTTATAAAACCATGATATACATCGCCAAAAAAAGTTCCATAAAAACGGCTTGAATTTTTTTTTCAACAGTTAATTACAAGAAAACGGCTCGGTAGATTTTCACCTAAAACTAATCAGTATCATTCCCAAATAAAATCTTTCAAACAGTTTTTGATTCTTTAAAATCGATTTGGTAGTATGAGCTTAATTGTGAACGAAAAGTTAACACTTTTTTCAAATGACAAAGAAACGGCTTGGTAGATTGTCGCACAGAACTGATAAACGATAGTCCTCATTGAGATACATCAAATAACTTAAATTTCTGAAATCGGTACAGGCGTTTTTGAGTAAACGTCGATGAAAGGTCTAATTTTGACATGTTTTTGAATTTTCAAAATCGATTCAGAATTGAGGGCTAAAAAATGGACGAAATTTTTTTCACTTTTCTACGATTTACAAAGAAACGGCTTGGCTGATCGTAGCGCAAAATTGATAAACGCTAGTCCTCATCGAGATACATCGAACGGCTTTTAAATTTTTGAAATCGGTCCAGTCGTTGTTGAGAAAACGTCAATTTATGGCAAAAGATATGTTCACATACACACACACATACTTTCTCCAAGTTTGGTCTCATTCGATTCAGAATTGCTTGAAACGTCGAGATAACAAAATTAGCGAATCGGATTTTTTAATAAAAACATAAACTTCTCCATCGGCAAGTTAATATTACATCGTTTATGAAATATCTTTCTCTTCACAATTCAAATTATGGTTACGTGAGTATAATCCAATTGATCTATTGACTGAGAGACATGCTGATTAGTTTTTGGCAAAGGTAAGTCCAGCAGTTACGAAGTTACGGTGCAGATATGGCGATTCAGTTTTTCGTAGAGCGGAGAGTCTGATTTGAATGATTTGAGAAACATTCGACTTGAATTGATGGAATGAAGAACTGGTTGAATTATTGTGAAGGCAGGTCCAGTGGTTTTGGAGATCCAATAAAAATGCGATTTGGCGGTCATTAATTATCATTATGCACATGGGCAAAATTTTAATAATAAGTAGAAATTTTGTTTACATTCCTATTGGTTTTGCATTCTATCTCTACAGAAATCAATTAACGAGTTTCTTATTGAAAGAATTCTTCAAAAAAAAATTTATAAATTATTTCAAGAAAAAAAATTTTAGAGTCAGGACTTCGTATTCAAATCTGGATGTTATGAGTTAGCAAAAAGTTCTGTCAGGATTTTTCTACATAATGCTCAAAAATAGACTAATTAAATGGATAATGTCTATAGAATTAGAATTTTTTTTATTATACCGATTTTAAAACATGGCAAATTAAACATTACACCTTGTTATCAAAATGTATCAATTACTTGTTTCTTTACTAGAGTTTCAAATTTCTCGTAAAAGTTTTACTGCATATTGATTCTTCACTTCAGATCTCTTTAATAGATTTGAAATCATTTCATTAACATATAGAAGGAAGTGAAATAGAAAGGATAGAGGTAAAGACTTAAAGACACTTCAAATATATACTAAATCTATTAATAATAGTAATAGAGTGGAAATAATTGAGTGAATGGCTACGTAATTTATTGAATAAACTTTTAAAAACGATGTACTATCATAAAAAATGATTTCATTTAGTTTAAATTGAATACAGCAATGTATTAAAATCGCCTCTTAAACTAGCAGCACTACATCTTCCTTCCTAATATAATTATAGATTATAACCCTTTCGACTCGGATGCCAAAAATCATATAAATTTCGCTATTCGCGAGTGGAAAGGGTTAATCTTTACTCAATTATCTTGATCTTTAGTGTATTTAGATTTGTGATAAAAATAATAATGGAATCTATTTGTCTGTTGGATTTGAAGGTCCGAAAAATGTCGAAGCAATAATACAACTCGGTCAATTATTTTCTCATGATCAAAAATCTCAAGATATGAATTATTATATATATATGTATATATATATATATATTTATATATATATATATTTATTTATTTATATATATATATATATATATATATATATATTTGTATAAATTTACCTCAAACATAAATGTATCCACTTCTTCCCGCAAATCTTGATCGGTAAGACCACCTCCTTGCTCTTGCAAATCCAATAATAAATCTAGGAAAGGACGCCTCTTTTTAACACCTGTAAGATAATGTGAAATTATTCAGATCGTTTTGTAAAGGTTCCATAAATTTACGAGTACATTATACACGAGCCTATAACACATTTTTTAATATCTATATAAAGACTGTATGTGTATATTAGGGCGGTCCTTAATATCTAAAAGATGATATTAAGAGCTAAATCTTTCAGAGAATTGTTTTTTTATCAATTTGGAATCATTTGAGCCCTTGGGAGCAAGGAAATTCGAAAATGTCCATATTAAGGACCGACCTAGTGTATATATTTTTAAGTAAAAAGTAAACTCACTATTTGGTGATGAAAATATTACAGAACTAATTAATCAAATAATAAGTCCACTATTTAACAAACGTAACCCGCATTTCTACTTTATTTTTAGTACAATTGACACAAACTTTAGTCATGAATTTATCACCTCATTCATGAACTTATCTATTACATTATATAAAAAAAAACATTTTTTTAAATCTTGACGTATATGGTAACCCTAGAAACGAAATTATTCATAATTACCTAATAAGCACTAAAATTACAATTATGTATAATATACATTGTATATTATCGATCATAGACTCACGTCATTATCAAATACGTCATTGAGTTAGATTGATTTACAATATGAAGTTCATTTATATATAAAATAATAAATTAAAGAAATCAAAGCTAATATTTGGTCATTAGGCACGTTTGTATACAGCATATGAGAATATATTATTAATTATTTAATTTGTATTTATTATGTTGCAAGTGATCACTATTTTCCATAGCTAATGTTGGGACTGTAATTGATCCAACTTCAAATTAGTTCTTTTTATTACATTAATTTGAATAATTTATATCGCCTAATATGTGTAAGCTATGATTCTATCTAGTGTGTGTCTATAAACTTTTGCTTTCAGCAAGAAAAACCTTTTGAATCATTAAACAAAGTAGCACGTTTCTACGAAGCCGAGTTCCATGCATCGCTCATAGACCACATGAAATATTCAGCGATCATAACCTCGGGCAAAAAATATTGTTCTTCTAAAAATAACATAGACGAGCATAACAAAAACGTTACTCGTCGACGCGCCGTCCTAAAAATCATACGAAAAACATCGAAATAAAAGGGTCGGATACAAGAAAGTTCATTTAATAAGCCATTTTTGATATACGCAGCCACCAGGCATCAGTAAAACGGTAGAGGTCTCGTAAAAGTCCTGAAAGCAATAGTGAGGGAGCAGCAGGATCATTTATATTCCTTTGTAGGTCTTCATTAACCCCTTTCCGACCAGGGGGTTGATTGCACATTCTTAAACAACTTTTATATAAGAGGTGTTAATATTCAGAAATAAGACCAACGAAGTAAACTAGGCGTCTGCACTCAAGCATTCACAAACTTTATATTTACCGACGTAGAACTTTTCTGAAAGTTGTTTACAAAAATGAGCAAATATAAAATACCTTGATTCGAAAATAAACGTTTGCATTAAATAGAATATAAACAGAGTTGATCACTGTATTATTGTTGTTTAAAATATTTTTTTTAAATATTAATGCAGTAACAAATACTGTAAAAGGTATAGTACATAAACTAGAAGCATATTTTTAGTTTTTTTTATATGTGAGCTGTTTGAGAAATCAACATTTACGATAAAAATCGGGGAAACGGTATTCCAGATTTACATAAAAAATTGGAAAATTATATATTATTTACTTCAATCGTATAAATTTTTCCTTGCTAGTAGTTTTTTTCATTCAAAATTTGCATGAATCTATGTTCTGAATATATTAAAATACAATCAAAATACAAATAAAACTTAAACTTCAACTTCAATACGAAATATCACATGTGGGAGGGAGGGCTATAGTAAGATATCATTGTGTATTTATTTTTTAACTAATTTAAAAAAAAAAATCAATAATTTTACAGTTTTTTCACATAACTAAAAATACACGTGATGTTTGGTTGGGGAGGGGGTGGGTAATTTTGAATATCACCAAATATCACCAAGGGGGAGGGGGGGTCTAAAAATCTTTAAAAACTCGTTCACAATACAATACAATACAATACAAATACAATAAAACTTAAATTGCAATTTAATAATACCAGGCACCTCTGTCTGACTGAGATATGAAAATAATGTATATATGTGAATAAAATAAATAATAAATTTAATAATACAAAATTTTAAATTTAAAACATCAATCGACTTTAGGTATACTATACAAATAAGTGATTTTTCACTTGTACTTGATTTACTAGATTTTCACTACTAGATTAAATATAAACTTGTTGCAGCAGTATATTAATATTATTATTGATAAGTGCATTAAAAATTGTAGTCATAGAGACCTATCATAAAAATTAGTATGATTGCAAAAATACTTTTAATCTTTTTGCTAAAAATATTAACACTGTTCAATATTGTTATTAAACCGCATATTAATTCTCCAGTAAGTTTGTTGTTTGACTTGGAATATTAGTTACAAACTAGGTGTAGGAGGCATTTCGCTTTGATGCAAGTTGCATGAACAGCCTGATATGAGAAATAATAGACATGAGATATAGCTTTTTATTATTTCAAAAATATTTTTTTTACTTTTGCTAAAAAAAATAATTAATGCAACTTTCATTTAAGCTTCACACAACTTATAATATCCGTTATTTTAAGGATGGGCGCAGCGCATTATCCCCAATTTTGATAAATTTATATAATTCAAACAATTTTAAGTAGACTAATTTTTTTAAGGTGGTTGTTGAATGCATGAACTCTGTCGTCTTGCCAAAAAACTAATCATCACGATTCTCAAATGATATCGTAACGAACTATTTTTTAAGTTTCAAAATAAACATGTGATTTTTTGCAAATACGTGGACGAAACCTTTCTGCTAATACCAAAGAAAGGACTTAGTCGATCGTAGACTCTAACCAATTTAAAAATACTCCTTTTCGAACTACATTTAAATTTTTGAAGCCATGTTTTGAGAAAACATTGACACACGTCAAATTTTGACTCATAATACCATAAAAGTAACTTCAACAGTTTTTCCAAGCTTTGATGAGTTTTCAGGTTACATCGAACTGCTTTTAAATTTTTAAAATCGATTTGAACGTTTTTGAGAAAACGTCGACAAAATACTGACAACCGGCTCACTTACACGCACGTGCTTTTTTCAAAGTTGGTCTCATATGATTCAGAAAAACTTAAAAAATCGAGAAAACATAAAACTAGCAAATCGTATTTTCTGATGAAAAGAAACTTCTTCGGAAAGTTAACAAAATATATATCAATGCACACGCGAGCCAAGAAGTATTTGTTCTTTATATTGTAAAATATAGGTATATAGTAGTAAATAAGCTTATATTGAATACTAGATGACCCGACAGACGTCCTGCAGTTATGTTTACAATTCAAAAGTTCAATTTTTTTTAATAGCCCATACTAATAATTACCAATTAGTTAGAAATTGATCATGTTTTTTACACTACAGTCTATACCAAAATGTATATGAATCCACTCATATAGATCTTAAATGTAAAACTGCTTTGAATAAAATGATGAATAATTGCTTTTTTGAAAAACATAAAACATTTTTTTCTTATAATTAGTTCTTTTATCGATATCCGACGTTATTTTAAAAAAAAACATCACTGAGAGGAAAGTCATCCTAGGGAAATAGCAAAGGAGTCTAAATTATTTTCACTTTTGAACTCGAGAGTAAGATAAACCCAATTTCAAAATTTCATACGAATTGGAGCACAGTAAAAAAATTCAGACCCAAAACGCTCAAACAATAATATGAAAATACTAACGTTTGTATGTGAAAAAGATAAGGGCTGTTTTTAGGGTTATCCCGGCAATTATTCGATTTTCAACGGACTTCAACAAACATTTAAAAAAAAGAATTGGCCAAATTGGTCCAGGCGTTGAGTTATGCGCTTACCAACACATTTTGCGATTCAATCATATTATAGATTTAATAATGTCTTTGATACCCCCTCATGGTTTGTCAAATATATGCATGTATAGTGCTCCTCCTTGTATAAGACGCGGATCAGTGCCTAAACCGTAGCATATAATTAGATAGTTTCCATGAAAGTTGAACCTTGAACATTACTAATATTGTTATTGTTGAGTCGTTTTATATAAAATGTTATGTTATCCGTCTGTTCGTCTCGAAGGGGTTTGTTGCACAAGTGCTCGCCTATAAAACTCGATTTTACGTCCGACCGTATAAACTTGTTAGGATGAAAACTCAACCGCCCTCACGCACGCCGACTTATCTTATTGCCGAAGGTTTATGACTAATCTTAATCCACTTCGACAGTGAAAACCGCTGAAACTAAAAGCCAACTAACGCAAAGACAAAGTATGTTTCGTATTGCCCCCAGTAATAGTCCGGGATGAACGTAACTGCGCGCATATAAAAACTTTTACGACTTAACAAGCCCGGTTAGCGAGGAAACCGGAGCCCCGACCCGGATTCCAATTTAAAATTTAAAATAAGTTAAAACACAGAAGAAATTCTATACTAAATTTTACAATACCGGGAATATCTTCGGTTTAAATACATACCGGGAATATCTTCGGTTTCTACTTGGGTTCCGGCATTTTTGCGGCTTTCTTTGCGCTCTGCTATCACCTGCAAATATCATATTAAAATGTGTTATAATAGATTAAGGAAAAATAAATTCATTATTTTTTCGATAGATGGCGGTATTAATAGATTTCTTGTAAAGTATCGATCAAACAATTTCAGATTTATGGTCTTCAGATGGATTTATTGGAAAGGTGACATTTTTCATTAAAAAATTTCCTTTTTTGTTTGGTGCATTCAATCTTGAGTTACAGGGTGTTAAAAATAAAAGTAAACAAAGAGAAAATTCGGTACATTTTACAGATTTTCTTTGACGAGAACGATAATACAAGGCGGCTAAAATTCTGAATGGTGTTTATGGGTCCTATACTGTAATAGCCAATCATGTGCAATTTTGGTTTCATAGATTCCGCTCAGATATTTTTGATGTTGAAGAAGGTAAGGCCGGTCGTCAAATATGTCTATAAAATCGGAAAAATGATAAAAAGGAAGGTTGATCGGTATATTAGCAGTCGAAACATCGCCCAGGAGCTAAAAATCGACCATAAAACAGCTTTGAACCAAAATTTTTAATCCAAAAATAATGGATTTCTTTTTCCCCAACCGAATATTAAGGTAATATAACTAGTCTGAGTAAGATTTTGTTTATACAGAATATATTTCGTCCTTAACACGTTTGTTGCCATGTCATGTCTCACACAATATATTATATGTCTTACACAATCAATTTGGTAGAATGGAAAAAGTTTTCATATACAAGGTGCATCAAACTACCACAACCAACCTTATATGAACAAAATAGTAGAATCAATTATTGAAGTGATTCTCTAACAATATAATTTTTATCAGATTAATTTATGTGTGTTTGAAAGTGTGTGTGTATGAGTGCGGGTGAATGACATAAGCCAAATAGCTCATAGAATTGTCATGTATTCTGATTGCTATTGAAAATAAAATTAAAATTAATAAAGAAAAGTTTAAAAAAATACAACGTGCCATGTCAGTCATATATGCATGCCATAAAAAATAGTGTTCCCCAGGAACTTCCTTTATCTTTGGCTTTGATACGTTTTCTAGACACATTTTCAATTAAATTATCTAATTCAATTACTATGGCTTATGTAATAATTTTTTTAATATTATTTTGGCAATTAACGTGTTAAGCAAGAAGCAATAACTTTCTAATCAATGAGGCAAAAATATCTGAAAATCAATATTAAAGTATTTTACATGCGTACGATTGTCACCGTTTTTAACAGTTCCAAAACAATTGCGAATATTATTATTAATTATTAAGTAAAAATTATGGCAACAAAGTTTTTCTTTTTTCAATTTTTTAGATTTATCTTATTTTAAATTAGTTATATGATTGCAGACCCAATTCAAAAACCCTGTTGATAAGTACCTTATAACAAAAGTCTATGGGACTGATGCTGCCGCATAACAGACAAATGTTATGGCAAGGCTATGTGATGAACTTTCCATACAAATTCGTTCCAAATATTGACAAAAGCCATATTGTTGGTGTGCAGTCAGCGTATTTTTCAGGTTGTCAGATAGAAAATCTAACCTTTAAACCGCATAAAAAAAGGATGCTTGGTAACAGAATCTTTCTGACTCGGCTTTATAACATACGAGTGACATTGCAGTTTACGTGTAAAACGCCTGAATGCACAGCAAATACATAAACTTTTGACAGCATTCAGTATAATATATGGAACTTAGCTCGTAATATGGCCTTGCCATAACATTTGTCTGTTATGCGGTATAATCGGCAGAATCCCTATATTGATAATCTTGAACTCTTGCTTGTTAGATAAGGATAACTGATTTCAAGATTTGTGCAACTTATCATATCTGATCTAAAGTTTTAATTATGTTCTGCACATATTTTTACAAATATGATACTAACTTACTGAATACTAATATATGTATTCTATAAATCTAAATAAATATTTTATAAAAAAACTACTAAATAATCTATGAATATTATAGTAATCATTCAAAATGTTGATGACTTATTGAATGATTCAATAAATACCTTATGAGTGAATCCATGTAATACTTGAAGTTGTTTGAAAAACTGTTGCCCTTGACTGGAGATTTTGAAACTGAAGTCTGGGAATAACCAAGGCGAGAGGAATCGTCGTGTCAACAAGGTAGCAACACTGAAAAATAAAAATAAAATTATTTTTAAATAATACATGATGATATAAATTCTTATTATTTTCAGGAACCAGGATTATACTTATATATCTTAAGAGCATATCGTGATTGAAATCTATAACTTAACTCAATGTCAGTATTAATGAAATGCAACTCAGTGATGGATGTCCATATTAGTTGTCATGAGATTGTTATTAGATATTTCGAATAGCGATATCAGCTATTTTCACTTCAGATCATATTTAGATTTATGTTTTCAAATAAGATTGAACCAGGAACTTTGTGGTTGAGAAACCAACAAAGCTAATATTATTATATTAATACTATTATAATAATATTTATACCAGGGATAAATAATGCCATAATATAAATTTGCAAATAAAACATTTAACATTACTATATAATCAAAAAATTTACTTCATTCCGTATTTGGTGCATTTAGCGTACAATTTGTATCTTCCCTATTGTCTTATTTTCGATTGTAGTTTGCAGATCAATATATATCGTAAAGCAAATAGTTGTTTTATTCACTTTTCTTATGATGACGAAATATTTATAATTCACAGTCCACCTAATATCTAATCAGAGTGATCCTCATCACCATCAATCATAAAATAATCACAAAATTTTGGTCAGATATAACTGTTTGAAGATTAGAATCACATCGGTAAACTAAGCACCGAGATAATGAAAATTGATATGACCTGACTTTTTATTAATTCTTTTGCTATCAATTGATGTAATCTTAATTTTTGCTTTTCTGTAAATTGGGAGGGAGACAAATTCGAAACCTTGAAAAAATAAAAAAATAAAAATTCTTGTTATGACCGGTTTTCAGTGAAAATCGACTTCGGTACTGCACGATATCAGGTTTTCCAGAGCGGGAAACATAATAATACGTAACTTTATATTAAATAAATTTTAAGACGTTCTTTGTTCATGTGATATGGAGAAAATTGTACATTTAGACTAATTTTAAAAAAGAAAGAAAAGAAAAGACTTTTTTTGAATGCTCTGAATTAATTTGAACTTGGACTTCAGTAAAATTTGGTTTTTGGATGAAATTGAATTGACGAAAAATTACAAAATATTACTTGAGAGAGGGAGGGGTATAGTAAAATATCACGTGTATTGTATTTACTTTTTACCTGATTTTTTTTTAATATCGAAGCACTTGCAAAAAAAATACAAAAACTAATGGCGCATGGCATCGTGCTTTAAGGCGATGCTTTTATACGCTTTAAATGTTTGAGGAATATTAAATGTTTTCACACAGATTATTATAAATTCTGTAATATTGTTAAATATTTATAAGAATTATATAAACTGAATCGCAAAGTTGAAATTATTTGTTTAAAGTATATTAGAAATTTAGTCAGAATTAAAAATAAAATCTGAATTATTTTCGATATACAAAAAAATTTTTTGAAAAAAAAAATTAAAAAAAAAAATTCAAAACAACTTTTTTTTTCCAAATTTAATTATTTTGTTGAAACAAGAATAAAGTTCTTTGATTATTCAAAACGGACGCTTAGTTCTCTCAAAAACTGACATTTATTGCACTTTTAGCTCTGTATCTTCGAAATGGCTGGGCCTGCCTCTGCCAAAAACTAATAACCACTTCTCCCTATCATTACTAATTGAATGTTTTTAAGGTCATTCAAATCGGATGCTCCGTTCTCTCAAAAACTCGATTTCTATTTTCTGCACTCTTTGCTTTTTATCTCCGTAACTTCTGGACCTGCCTTTGCCAAAACCTAATCAACACATCTCCCTATCGATAGGAATCGAATGTTTTTTGAACCATTCAAATCGGTTGATCCGTGCGCCCGAAAACGTGAACGAAAAAATGCGGCCACACAAAACACACACACACACATCCATTTTTTTTAGCTATGCCAAAATGTTCAGAAACCATCAAAACGTCGAGAAATGCAAAAATTTTCAATTTCGATTTTTGGACGATTACAATAACTTACCCTACGGGAAGTTAAAATTACAATTTTTTCTCGTAATTAAAAATGATGTGATGTTTCTTTGAATCCTTAAAAATCCTTAAAAAAAAATGATCACGTGATTAATGGACGCCCCCTAATCTCTTCATACGATTTGCAAATATTAGTATCACAAACTCTGTAAATTTTATTAAGTTTTTAAAATTTACAGTTCAGTAAACCTGTTGTCAAAAAATTCGCATATACAAAATTAAAAAAAAATGTGTTACAGTAAAAAATTGTGTTCTAGAATAAGAACTTTTTATTGAATTAATTTAGCAGTGCATATAATATATGCACTATATAATGATTTACCCTACTTGCTAAATCTCAGCATATTCGACTTCTGCATACGTTTTTGAAGAAAATTCCTTGTTAGAATGCTTTGAATTAACTTGGACTTTAGAAGGAATTGACATTCTCTCCGTGATGAATAATCGAATAATATCTTTTCATTGTATTTGCAAATGATAGTATCACAAACACTGAAAAATTTATTAGGGTTTTCAAGTTTGTAGTTTAATGTACTAGATGTTCTCTCATAAAAACAAGATATATACAAATTTAATACAAAATAAAATGAAAGCTCGAATATTCAAAGTCTAAGCAATATACGCAACTGATAAAAGAATGTTGTTGCAGAATCACAACTTCTAATTTAATAGATTTAGCAGTGCATATAATATACCTTTTTGCTAAATCTCAGCAAATTCGACTTCTGCATACAATATCAACCGTTTCAACAATTATCGCGCAAGTTCGGATAACGATCATAATCTGCTTTAACTATATTGTTAACATCTAAGTGCCTGTACCCATACCGCCGAGGTCGTTCCGTGGTTTAGGCAATTAGTGTACCGCGTCGTTATTAGACAACTTATATATAGGTTATATGGCCCCCGAACAGGCTGACCATAGTACCGTAATAGGCGCTTTAATCGGGCGCCGAGAGGAGCTCCGGAGACCGTGGCGGAGGCTCCACCGCACGTATACGAATTGCCTCTTACGTAAGAAGCGGATGGTGAGCGCAATCGTTCGAAACCGCCGGGTGATTTCTTCATTATTTTATTAGGGAGAACTGCTACGGCCATTGATACTTATCGCAGAAAATCAGGGAAAATGATCTTGTAGGCTTTTATACACTAGATACAGAATAAAAATCAGAGATACAATAGACAGAAAATTGTAACATATTGTTTTACATTATAATTTTAGTGACTGTATTAGAGAACAAAGAGTGCAGACAATGTTTGAAAATTTTATACAGAGAAGCACGTATCATTAGAAAAAAACATTATCGCTGTCTAAGTAATATAAACAACCATTTACAACGATTGGAGCAAAATAGAACTAGTGGGGTGTATGGCATCGTGCCTTGAGGCAAATTACTGGAACTTCCGGTACCGTAACAAAATGTTTGAAGAATACTGAATGTTTTCAAATAGATCATTAAAAATATTGTAACATTGTTTAATATTTATAAAAATTATATATACTGAATTCCAAAGTTAAAATTATTTGTTTAAAGTATATTAAAACTTTAGTCAGAATCAAAAATAAAATCTGATTTATTTTCGATATGAAAAAAATTTCTTTGAAAAAAAAAATTAAACAAAATTATTTTGAAACTAAATTTTTTTCTTCCAAATTCAATTATTTTGTTAAAACAAGCAGAAAGTTTTTTGAATCATTTAAATCGGACCCTTATTTCTCTCAAAAAGTGTCATTTTTTAACATTTAGCTCTGTATCTTCGAAATGGCTGGGCCTACCTTTGCCAAAAACTAATAACCACTTCTCCCAATCATTACTAATAGAATGTTTTTTAGATCATTCAAATCGGATACTCCGTTCTCTCAAAAACTCAATTTCTATTTTCTGCACTCTTTGCTCTTTATCTCCGTAACTGCTGGACCTGCCTTTGCCAAAAACTAATCCGCACATCTCCCTATCAATAGGAATCAAATGTTTTTTCAACCATTCAAATCGCTTGATCCGTGCGCCCGAAAACGTGACGGAAAAATTGTATCCATACATACAAACACGCACACACACATCCATTTTTTTCTGAGGTATGCCAAAATGTTCAGAAACCTTCAAAACGTCGAGAAACGTAAAAATTTTCAATTCCGATTTTTGGACGATTACAATAACTTACCCTACTGGAAGTTAAAGATGTCCCTTATTTTAAGTTTTAGAAGTAGTTAACAATAGTACATATTTCTAATATTACTATTATTATTATGAATTTGTTATAGTTTTTTATGACGAAGATCAAAACTATAATAAATAATTCCACAATAGACTATATATTATTTGCAGCATATCAACATTAAAAAATTATTAAAATATAATTTAATGAATTATTTAAATGATATATAGATATATTATATCAACCGTCTATAGACCAAATTTTCATTTACTCCGGCCTAAAAATATCAAATATAGAGAAACAAAAAATCAGTAAATAATAAACCTATTTATGACAAAAAAAACATTTGATGCGATTTTTGAAAGACTGTAAAAGAGGCACTAACTATATATTTTTTACGTGTTATCAGCTTGTGTTTTCAGAATATAAGAAATGATAAAAACGGTCCTAAAGTTTGAATTCTGAAAGGCAATCAAGTAGGTCGTTTTCCAAAAAAATTTTTTTGGACATCGAAAATTGGTCAAGATTTGACCAGGGCTTTCCCTATTTGACCCGGGACCCTTCGAGGTAGGGGACACAATTGTATGAGTATAAATACCTGTAATTTATAATAATAAGAGAGACTTGCAAAAGTACGACAGAAGAAGGTTGTAGAGTGAAGATATACATATCATATACATATACATATCATAAACTAAATAGTGGTTTTATTCACATATCTTTTGGTTTTATTTACATATCTTGAATATTTATAATTTATAGTCTGCGTAATATCTAATTAATCAAGTGATCCTCACCAAAAATAATTCGGGTCTTAATTTTAACTCTAGCTCTCACTTATATACTTGTGATAAAAAA